GCACACATTCCACCATTAGTGTCCCCAGTATATCCTCCCTGCCATCCCAGTCCTCACCCTGCCTCTATGGCAGGCAATTTCCCCAATACTCTGTCTCTACTTTTGGGCATCATGTTTTGCTCAAATTTTCCCACCACCATTCCAGCCTGCCTGCCAGGGGCAGATACTAGATCATTCATTGTCCATTGCTTATTTTGAAAATCTTGGGTGCTGCAGCCATGTGTTTCTGGAATCCTCAATTGTAAATGGTGGAGTTACAGAGACATTTCTGTAGGGCAATAATCCATTTTGGGATTCAGTTGGATGTCTCTGTACCAGAGCTATTGGTGTGCTAAGATGGCACCTGGAGGCACATTGTGGGGGTAACAGCCAGGCCGTTGAGCGGGCAGGGAGCTGAAGAGGGACAATCCTGCACCTCTGCCACCATGTGGCATGAAGAATTAATCCTGGAACCCCCATACCTGTGCCTTGCTTGTGGAAGCTGTTGAATGCCGGGATTCCCTCTTCAGTAGGTGGGGAGACTGCACCTGCTCCATCTGGGGTGCCCCAGTGAAATTGGCTCCATACAGGGCCCAGAGAGATCTCCGGCTCTGTGGTGTCTTCCAAGACTCATTGCTGTGTTCCTGACTTTTGATCTCTTTCGAGATTTATTTATGGGTTTCTGAAGCAAGGCTAGTAATAGAGTTTACAGGGTGTCGCTGGAGTTGGTTTGCCAGGATGACTGCTAGTGCTTCCATGTGTATTGGGAAGTGGAGAGAGATAGCCCACCCCAACTCCGTGAAAGCCAGGAGATTTCAGTCACATAGCCTGCATACCCTAATTTTCAGCAGATTATATCTTGGTGAGTTCTGTCCTGAGATGGTGGAGTCCAGCTGGGGCTATGGTAGCTGTTTTACATTGTGGAAGAAAACAGCTGCTGGGGACTCTGCCTGGGCAGGCTCAGGCCAACCGGCCTCCTCTGATTTACCTCAGTCTGTTCAGCCATGCGTGGGTTTTAGATTAACTGTGGCTTTTGATCTCTTTCAAGGTTTATCTATTTCTCTGAAATAAGGCCAATAAATGAGCTTGTATAGCTGTGCCGGAGGTTGTTTGTGGGTATGGCTCCTAACTTTTGGCCATTTAATTTCTTGGTAAACTTGATCGCAAGTTGTTGGGTCTGGCCAAAGGCACAGCAATAATTTGGGGATGTCAGGAAGCCTGAAGGCATTATCAGGCTGCTGATGCACTCACCCCACAGATGGATGATTTTGTATCATTGTGCAACTTTCCAAGAGTGAACAAGAAGGAAATGATTATCTTGAACAGGTTGATAACATATACAGAAATATAACAATCGAAACTCTACTTAAGAGCAAACTCAAGATGGGACAAGATATTTTCACCAGTGACTTGAGAACTACTCAAATTCTTTCCCCAAGTTGAAGTGGGATGGGAGGACACTCACAAATTCATTCTTTTTTATTTTTTTTAACTTTTTTTATTGAATCACTGTGAGATAGAAACATTAAAAAGCTTTTTATGATTTGATATCAGTTATGCAGTGTTCCAACACCCACCCATGCACCATTGTACATTTCCCGGCACCAGTGTCCACAAGTTCCCTCCCATCACCCTCCCCCTGCTGCCTCTCTCTCTCTCTCTCTCTCTCTCTCTCTCTCTCTCTCTCTACCTCCTTCCCTCCCTCCCTCCTCTCTCTCTCTCTTACTCTCTCTCTCCCCCCCTCCCTCCCTCTTCCCTCCTTCCATGCTCCCTCCCTCCCTTCCCTTCTCCCCTTTTGGGCATTGTAGTTTGCAGTATTGATATTGAAAGGTTATCAGAAATATGCCTTACCTACTTTTAACCCTCAGGTTTTGTCCAGCGTGATTATTCTTCTTTGAGGCCAATAATACTCTCATTGTCAAGTCAGTAAAAAAGAGCAACATATGAACATTGCATATGATGTTTTCTATATAGATATATAATGATCTATATATTTTATATAGATATATGTTAAACATGTATAATATTTAATATATAATGTTCATACACTTATATATAATGTTTATATATGTTAAATATATAACCTATAGGGCTGGAGCAATAGCACAGCGGGTAGGGCATTTGTCTTGCATGCAGCCAACATGGCCAACCCGAGTTCGATTCCTCCGCCCCTCTCGGAGAGCCCGGCAAGCAACCGAGAGTATTCGATATGCCAGACACAGTAACAACAAAGTCTCCAATGGAGACGTTACTGGGCCCGCTCAAGCAAATCGATGATCAACGGGAGGGCCTTTACTTTACTTTACTTACTTTATAACCTATAGACTGATAATCTCTAACCAACATAAATGCTAAAATTCTAAACACAATCTTTACAAAGACTCCAACAACACTAAGAGTGAAGCATTCATCCCAAGTGGCATTCATCACAGGGATGCAAGAATTTACCAACATTTACACAATCTGTAGAGGGTAGTGGACACTGGTGAAGGGATTGGTGTTGGAATAATGTATTCTTGAAACTCAATAATAAATATCCTTGTAACTTTGTAATTCACAGCAGTTCAATTTTTAAAATGTGCAGATCATTATATTACACTGTATCAATGAAAGAAATATCAATAGATGCTAAAAAAAGGTATTTGACAGGATTCAATATCCAGTAGTGATTTTTTTAAACTCAGTAAATTTAGAAATAGAAAAAAACTTTCCTTAGCATGTAAAGGCTATGTGTAACTGAACCACAGATAACATACTTAATAGTGAAAAACTAAAAGCTTTGCTCTTAAGATATGGAAAAAGATGAGGAGGTTAATCCTAATTATTACTTTTGCACATCATTTTGAAAATTCTAGCTAGAACAATTAAACAATGTATGGTGATGGGTGTGTGTGTGTGTGTGTGTATGTGTAAACAATTCAAATGGGAAAGGAAAACTATCATGGTTTGTGGACAACATAATAATGTTTATGAAAAGATTTCAACAGGGTGTCTTTAGACTAGTAATAATAATTTCAGTAATGTGACAGGATACAAGATCATTATACATACAAGATGTAAGATCATTATATATCTGTTGCTTTTATATACACAGTGAGTTTGGAAGGGAAATTAAAAACAAGTTCATTTGTAATTATGTACAATTTGTAAGAAAAGATTATCTTTCACAGTGCCAGAGCAATAGTACAGCAGGTAGGGCATTTGCCTTGCACGTGGCCAATCCGGGTTCAATTCCCCGGCATCCCATGTGGTTCCCCCATGCACTGTCAGGAGTAATTCCTGAGCACAGAGCCAGGAGTAACCCCTGAGCATCGCTGGGTCTGACCAAAAAAGCTATATACATATATATATCTTTCACATTAAAAAGTGCTTGATGGATAAATATATAGCAAAACATTTAATCATAATCCTTAAAGACTATACTATTGAAAAAATTTAGAAGCAATTGAAAATTGGAACAGTTGCTTACTAATATTATTGAACTGATTATTTTACTGCAATTATTTTCTTTCTTACCAATATACTATTAGGACAAACCACAAAATCCCAATCAGAGGAAAATTATTGTAGTATATATTAGACAAAGCCACTTATGTGCTTCAGAGAATTACAAATACATGTAGCAGTCTGAACCTTGGCATAAAAATGTATGGAGTAAATTAAGAAATTGTTCTCTACCAGAGCTAGCAAATTCTAAAAAATTGTTTTTAATGTCAGATGCCAGAATCCTTGCTTTAACATGCTACATCCTAGAATTATAGTTAAGTCATTCCCAGATCTTCCTAAAATTCACTTACAATAAAAATAGTTACAAAATTTTTGTGAATATTCCATTTAGTATACAACAGTGTGACTGAAGTAATAAATTGATGACAGATATCTGCTATGATTATTTGGCAAATAAAAGTATCATATACAAAGTATAGTTATATATATAATATTAATTTTCCTATGACTGGGATTTCACAGTTTAAAGACTGAGTTGTCCTGTAAATTTACAAGTTACACTGGAAACTTCTTGAGGTCTTCCTAAAATCCAGTAAGCGTGACAGTTTGAAAGTAGAAATTCCTTTTAAATTACAAGTTTAAACCTATTGAAAATATGCAAACACTTTCAAGTTTGAATTCTATAGAGAAGGATGATCAATAATGTCTCCTGAATAAAATATCTCTAACATTCAGAGTTTCTGTAGCTCTCCATAAAAAATTTCCATTCTTCACGATGGCCACTCAATACCTCTATTGCAAACTACAACTCCCTAAAGGAAAGAGTGAGCAAAAGGGAATGCCCTGCCACAAAGGTGGAGTGGGGGGGGATGAGGGGGTAGGAGGGCTACTGGGATCATTGGTGGTGGAGAGTAGGCACTGGTGAAGGGATGGGTACTGGATCATTGTATAACTGAAACCCAAGCACGAAAGTTTGTAAGTCTACAACTGTACCTCATGGTGTTTCACTAATGAAAAAAAAGAAAAAATATTCTGTTCTTGGAGAAAAGGAATTGAAAAGTTATATTGTACCTCTAAGAATCAAGTTGTAATCTTTTGTAGTTTTTTCATGTTAAGTATCAAAGATGACCTGACAACATATTTAGAATTTTCTGAGTTTTGCTATTAATAAAGTTAAAAGAAAATCTAAAGTATTGGGCAGTGTAGCCACATTAAATTTGTATGCGAAATATCCATTGTGATTATCTCTACTAGATACTGCTCTCAACCATGTTCCACAGTCTGAGTACTGTGTAGAAAGTTAAACATTGCAGAGGGCATATATCTGATGATACAGATAACTAAGGTTGAAGTTCAGTATTGAGCAAAGTAGGTAAATTTAATGTGTTCATGTCTTTAGAATTTCTATCAAAATATAAGTATAATTGAATTAATTTTGCTATAAATTAAAAATCTTGTGTATAATTTTTAGATTTTAAAATGGCTAGTTATTTTAGAATCCCAGTCATAAAATAGTACTATAGAGTAATATAACAAAGTGATATTCATATTCTTTATGTATTAATTATTTGTAGGCAAAGTTGTTAGCTATGCAACAAGCCAAAGAAACTGCAGTTCAACAGTACAAAAAGCTGGAAGAAGAGATCCAAACACTTCAAATTTATTACAGGTAACTTTCCTTTTTAAGCCTCTGTTGAAATACATATTGGGAAAAAGTAAATGAGAAAATACTTCAATGAAGTTAAGCATTATGTACATAGAACTTTTTATAATTTTAAAATTATTCGGACATAAAGCATTAATGAGGCTGCTATGCTACTTCTTTTTCTTCTTTTTCTACTTTTTTGTTATTGTTGTTAAATCTTAAGTTATGATCCTGTCAGAATTACAAAATTTGCATAACTCATTGCCAGTCACCTCAGTGGATCCAGGTTAGCTTTTGAGCTATTTGCTCATCTAACTGCACCCTCTAAAATAATTATATGTGTTTTTGAGTAGTAGTTGGAAGAAAGTCATTACAGTCTTTTACCTTTCATAATATGAGAAGTTTCTAAAGAAATGCCACTAAGAGATTTTTGATAATGTAATTTATGATCTAGTGGTGGTTATGAAATTAGTTCAGCAGGTCACAGGAATTCTGTAATGAAAAGAAGTAGAAAAGAAAATATCAGAGTGCCTCTTCAGTCATAAATGTCAAAACTGTTTTGTGATAGTTATTTCAGTTTTGTGCTGTATAGAGATAAAATTATATATTTAACACAGTTATGATCTAAAAAGCACTTTTGTGGAGACCAGATAAATAGCTCAGTGTTCTGTGCACAGGGCCTATGTCTTGTGTGCACAGTACCCCGAGTTTGATCCCCAGTACCTCATGACCCCCCAGAACCACCAGGTATGGCCCTGGAGGTCCTCACGGAGACCAGCTGTAGCCCTGGTATCCCAAACATTGTAGGGCATAAACATTGAACCTTCTGGCACAGTTGTGGCGGGGGCGGGGGGGGGGGGGGGGAGCGGGTAAGTGCAAAACTCACCTTGAGCACAAGAACACTAGCAAATTAATGGGGAAACATGTAGAAACCCACCAGGATCAATGAACAAAGAGAATACCACCAAAGATATAAAGAACCCCAGTAAGTTCTCAAACGCAATATTTAATGACACTGGATGAGGATGTGCAATGAGTTCAAAGAAAGTATAGCAGAGGTAATCAACAAAGCACAAGTATGAGAGTCAAAAAGGAAAAGCTATTATTGTTAGAAATGAAAGAAATGAAGAACATGGTAGGTGGCATTTTAAAAAGTCAGTAGAGGCTCTGAACAGGAGAATGAAGAAGCTGAGCAAAATATTGAGGAGCTCCAAGATGAGGAGGAGGAAATCATTAAGAAAGAGCAGAAAGTAGAAAATAGCCTGAAAAGAACAGCATATAGCAAGGTATAGACCTGTGGGATGGGTTCAAGAGGAACCATTGGCACCCTTGAGGAATAGGATGACAAATGTGAAGAAATAGCTTGCACTTCAAGCGCCTGTTTTCCCTTGAACAGGTATCTCATTTGCTTGTCTTTATGCTTCTTTTCTTGCCTATTTCCACTGAGAGAAGCCTGTGTTCTTTCCTTTTTATGTAGGAGTACTGCCATTTATTCAGCCACTGATTAGGCGGATTGAATTGGGCACTCCACCTTACTTTTTTTTTTATAATTTTATTTATTGAATCACTCTGAGAGCAGTTACAAAGCTTTCGGGTTTAAGTCTTGGCCATACAATGGAACACCTGTACCTTCATCAGTGTCCATTCTCCACCACCAAAACCCCCAGGATACCCCCATCCCACACCCTTCTCCTACCTGTGGGACAGATGACTCCACATTACTCTCTTTCTCCTTTGATTACATTCAATATTTTGACACCTGACCCACTAGTATTTTGGATTTTACCCCAACAGTCGGATCTGCCAAAAAGGCAACAGTAGACAATTTGTTTTCTATTGCCGGTTATGAATAACTTATGATGTCACGTGGCTGCAGTAGTAGCCTCACGATTTTGAAATTCTGAAATTTTAACAATTAAATCTGGAGGGATTTCTGCCAAAACATGCTGGGTTCTGAGATTTATTCCCAAGTTTCTGGGATCATGGCCGTTTAGCACCTTGATCAGGAGCCAGAGAGGGTGTTCATAGGTGTCAACTCGGGGTCTCATTGGAATGGGGAGGAAAGGGCCAACCCGACTCCACCCCCATCTCGTGAGGCACCGCATTTCTCATCACTGCGGGCCCAAACCTGACTGTCCAGTGGCCTTTGGTAGATGGAGGCCACTGAGCTGCCAACGAGGAGCAGGCGGAGGGACAGCACCCTTTCTCCCCTGGGGTAGCCCGGCTACAGTCACCTACTGTGGAGTCCGGAAGCATTTCTGCCAAAAGCCGCTGGGTTTCGAGATTTGTTTCTAAGTCTCTGGGATTATGGCCGTTAAGCAGCTTGATCAGGAGCCAGAGAGGCCATTCGTGGGTGGGGACTCGGGGTTCTTGTTGGGACAGGGAGCAAAGAGCTGGCTCCACCCCCATCCCATAAGGTCCCGCATGTCTTATCACTGCGGGCCCAAACCTGACTGTCTAGGGGCCTCTGGAGGATGGCGGCCACCAGGTCGCCAGGGGGAACAGGCCAAGGCACAAAACCTATTCCTACCTGGGGTGGCCCAGCGTCAGTAACCTACTGCAGGAACCGGACACAGTTCTGCCAAAAGCCATTGGATTTTGAGATTTGTTTCTGAGTCTCTTTGATCATGGCTGTTAAGCAACTTGATCATGAGCCAGAGAGGCCGTTTGTGGGCTACAACTCGGGGTGTCATTGGGACTGGGAGGAAAGGGCCGGCTCCACCCACATCCCATGAGGCCCAGTGTCTCATCACTGTGGGCCCAAACCTGACTGTCCAGTTTCCTCTGGAGGATGGCGGCCACCAGGCCACCAGGGGGAACAGGCCAAGGCACAAAACCTATTCCCACCTGGGTTGGCCCAGCACTGGTAGCCTACTGCAGGTTCCAGACGCATTTTTGCCAAAAGCCGTTGTGTTTCGAGATTTGTTTCTGAGTCTCTGGGATCATGGCTGTTAAGCAGTTCAATCAGGAACCAGATAGGCCATGCCTCCAGTTACATATTTGAGCCGGAGGTGGTTTGTGGGTGTTTTTCCCACATACCTAACTTTTGGCCATTTACTTTCTTGGTAAATTTTGCCCTAGTGTTTGGGTCTGGCCAAAGGCACAACAGCAATTTTGGGGTATCTGGAAGTCTTAAGGTGCCATCAGGCTGCTGACGCACTTGCCTCACAGGTATAGATTGACCTGCTGGCGGTACCATACCCCCATTAGTCTTCTTTCTTGAAGACACAGTTTTCTCATTCTTTCTCCTACATTTTTCTTAATAAGTCTTTTTGTTCTTTTTTGTTTGTTTTTAATTTAAATAAGTTTCAATAAAAATTATCTTGCTTCACAAGTACACACACACACACACACACACAAAGGGGGAATGACAGCACAGTGGGTAGGGCACTTGCCTTGCATGCAGCAGACTCAGATTCAATTCCTGGCATCCCATATGGTTCCCCAATTCTTGTCAGGAGTAATTTCTGAGTTCAGAGCCAGGAGTAACCCCTGAGAGTTCTGCGTGTAGCTCCAACAACAAAAGCAAAATAAACAAAACAGAAATAGTTATTAAAGAAATCATTGTAAGAACTTCCCAGGATTAAGGATCACAATCAGTGGGGTTTAAGAGACCCAAAAGGTGCCAGTAAAAATAGACTCAATCAGGAAAACTACAAGTACAGTATACTCTCAATGAAAAAAAATCTAAAGGTAGAAACAGAATATTGAAAGCAGCAAGATCAAAAAAAGAACTTACATAAAAGGAAGCCCATAAAATGTACAGCAGATCTGGGGGCTGGAGCACAGCAGATAGGGCGTGTGCCGTGCACGCGGCTGACCCAGGTTCGATTCCCAGCATCCCATATGGTCCCCTGAGCACCGCCAGGAGTAATTCCTGAGTGCAAAGCCAGGAGTAACCCTTGTGCATCGCCGGGTGTGACCCAAAAACCAAAAAAAAAAAAAAAGTACAACAGATCTATCAAATGAGAGTCGACAAGCCAGAAGAATACGAACCATATACTTTGCAAACAGTAAGTTTTTATGTTATAATAATTTTTACTAAAAGAACATTCCGTGAACATAGCCTTCCTTAGAATATGGGAGCAGAAGAGATGGTGCCTCAGTAAGGCACTTGCCTCGTATGCAGCCAACCAAAATGCAATCCCCCGTTACCACATATGGTTACTCAAGCACCACCAGAAGTTATCACTGAGCACAGAATATGGAGTAAGCCTTGAGCACAGCTGGGTATGACACAACAAAAAAATAATAAATTAAATAGAATTAAGGGTAAAATCACTGAGATTTAGAACTCTGGGAAGAGATTATTACCCAAAAGAACAAAGCTTAAATTTTTTGGAAGCTCACAGTTTGATTTAAATCTAAATGATGTAAATGATGTTTTTACACATCTGAATAATAAGTCATACTTGAACCACCACTGATTTCTTCAAGTTTTCCAAGTTACAGAGTAAAGGGAAAATGTTACATTTTTTTGTGAAGAAATCCAAGAAAAATTCTATATATTTAGTATATAAATGCTTGCATATATATATTTGTAATATACCCCATGTATATATACTGTATGAGAACTCACTGTTATTGTATTCTATATATCAAAGTTTATGAAAATGTATACCTTTAGTTATTCAAATAAGTTATCATTTGAATTATAACTCATTCTAACAGTGCAAGTATATACATTATATATACATTATATTATCATGTTAAAGTTTTACCAATATTAAAGGAAAAATAGACTAAGAAAATTAGAACAATAATGAATATATCAGTAGGAAGTGTCAGTAAGGTAGAGCCAGAAGGAAGTCAATATACAGCTTGCATGTATGAGCCAGGTAAAGAGTAAACCTCCAGTCTGACTCACAATTTTTCAGCAACCAAAGAAGAAGGGAAAATACAGTCAGATTATAGGGACAGAATATAGGAAAAGGTTAAAAGATGCTAACGAAGGGCTGGTGCAATAGTACAGTGGGAAGAGCGCTTGCCTTGCATGTGGCTTACCGACCCAGGTTATATCCTGA